GGAAGCATAATCCTTCAATTGCACTCATACAACCTGTCAGTAACTTTTCACTCCCTGAGCCAAGAGCTTCTCCATCTGAGTTTCAGCAAGACCAATTTCTGAGCCATGGAGCAATGGGTAACGCCAGCCTCACTAAGCTCACACACCCAGCTGTGGAAGCACATTTCATTTTATGGTAAGTCTACTTTGCCACTACAGGCGGTGTAGCATGTTAGTTTCTAGATTAGCCTTTGGTGTTAAAGAGATCCCGCTCTTGGTGTGTCTCATGAGTAATTTACTTAACTGAGACTCACATTCCTCAACTGTATAATGACTATAACAAAACTAATTCTGTCTCAAAGTGATTGTGATACTTGAAGGAGGCAACATAGAGAAGTGCCCATATAGTATCTGATACTCAATTTATATCTGTTATTATGTTCATTCTTATAACTTAAGCACCTGCTTATTAACTACAGTCATATGTGGCAGAATGACATCTTGGTCAATGACAGACCACATGTATGACAGTGGTCTTGTAAGATTATAGCAAAGCTGAAAATTTCCTTTTGCCTAGTAAAGTCGTAACTGTTGGAATGTCGGTGCAGTGCGTTACTTACGTGTCTGTGGTGAGGCGGTGTAAACAAATCTACTGTGCTGCATCATTAGAGTCGAACAACATTTCTTTTTGGTAAAGATTTTAAGTAATATGTTATACAAATGAAAGACTAACCACAGTGATGGAATTTTTAGAAAGAGATAAAACTAAGAGTCTATGAGGATTTGGAGAAATGGCTATTCACATATGCTGTTAGAGGAGCATGAATTGGTGTCATCATTTTGGAAAAAGTTTGGCATTAGTTATGACAATGAAAGATATGCCTCCTTCTAATAGTCTGCTCCACAGAAGTGAGTGCTGGTGCTATTCCAAAACCATTGACAAAAACACTGAAAGCACCATTACTTGAGATAGACACAATCATATTAAAAATAACCCTGGCCAGGCGTGGTGGCTCACACCTGTAATCCCAGCATTTTGGGAGGCTGAGGCAGGCAAATCACCTGAGGTCAGGAGTTCGTGACCAGCCTGGTCAACATAGTGAAACCCAGTCTCTACTAAAAATACAAAACTTAGCCGGATGTGCTGGTAGGCGCCTGTAATCCTAGCTACTCAGGAGGCTGAGGCAGGAGAATCGCTTGAACGCGGGAGGGGGAGGTTGCAGTGAACAGAAATCATGCCACTGCACTCTGGTCTAGCGACAGGGTGAGACTCCGTCAAAAAAAAAAAAAGAAAAGAAAAGAAAAGAAATCTAGCCCTTAAGAGATGAATATCAACTTAAAGAACAAAACTGAAGCCAAAGTTTGAAGAGAGGAAATAGTGTGATACTATCTTTTGTGGGAAGGAACTCTTGGCTTCCCCAAAAATTAGAGAACCAGGGAGAAAGAAGCATCATCTCAGAATCTGTGATTAGGTTGGGAAGTGGAGGCTGGAAATGTGCTCAAGGTTAAACTTTCTTCCTCCTTTCAAAGGAGACTGGAGTGTTACCAGTGAGCCCAGAGTCAATATTCACCCCGCCATCCACCCCGGGTGATCCCTTTAAACCAGGAGCACACAGCAAGGACAGAAACATGAAAGTGCACTAACAAGTCCTGAAACTTCAGAGGGTGATTCTCGATTTCCCCTTGGCACACAGCAGAAGAACTGTTTCTCTAGGTTCCAGGAAATGCCTGTGAGAGAGCTGTGTCCCCCAGAGTCCCTTCATCACAGATGACACCCAGTGCTTAAGCCTACACCCTTGTGCACAATCCCTAGGAGTGCTGACTAATCCAAACCAAAGGCTCTCATGTTCCACAGGCAGAAAAGAGCAGGTGGACTGCAAAGAGAATCTCTCATGAACGTGGCACCCCCATAGCCCATAGAGACAGTTCTTACCATGATGCCAAAAAACTGAAAACAATAAGCCAGACCTCACACATATTTCCATTTTCTTTCTGATTTCATACCCCCTCCTTCAGCCCCTCCTCACAAGCAGCAGGGATAACCTGGAGGCTCCTGGGAACCTTTTCCCATTGGGTTTTTCCTGGCACGTAGTTCCCTACCTGGATGAATCTCCTCTTCACTTAGACTCTCCAGCATCAAGTCTTTAGAAAGAAAAACACCAGGATAAGTCATTAGACAGAGTGACTCACCCACTCCTCCCACTTTAGCTGAAGCTGAATGATGAGCTATTCTCCCACCCCCCGCTGCTTCATACATGATCCCCTCATCTTTCTTCTGGGTTGACAAACCTCCCTACAGCTTCTTGGGCCAGAGTTCTATACTGGCAGATGCACTTTCATGAGAACCCCAAGCCTCTTTCCCAGCAGGAACCCAGAATTGGTTTCTATACACTGAAGCTAGCAAGATTTTCCCCCGGGAAGTGAGTTATTTCATGGTACATACCACTGTCTTTCCAAGCTGTTATCTGCAATTATATAAGAGAAAACATCATGAGAATCAGATTCTGCTGTGTGCTTCACACAGATCTGTTATTCTCTGGACAACGATAAAAAACCAGAAGGCAGTACAGTGATTGAACCATAGGTCAAAGTCCCCAAAGCCTAGCACAGAGGATAGCTATAGAAAAATAATACCTTAATTCACAGAATTTACCCTTAATTTTATATTCAAATGCACAATGCTTAATCCAAGGAGGAAAAGTGGTGTGGAAAATGCCTCAGTATTCCAGTTGATACTGGACGCTGTCATTGAAAACCACCCTAGCAGACCATGTATCAGTTGGGAAGACACGCCTACTGAATTCCAGCCCCACAAAGAGAATAGTGTACAGTGTACATAAAGTGCACTGCCAGATTTTCATATCAAAATTAACTGAGAAGTAAAGAATCAGGAAAACAACACTGCTGTAAAAGACCAAAAAGGGGAGTCTTACCTGGACATCATCATCATCATCATCATCATCTTTTTGTTCTTCATCCTTGCGTTGTGGTGAGCCTCTTAAAAACAGGCCATCCTCAGGACAAACTGGAAGGACACAGAGGAAAGATCAGTGCACTGGTGGTTGGTGACTGTGAGTCACTCAGGGAGCTTTGCTGGATGTGGTGTATGGAGGTGGTTGACAAGCGTGAACTGAGTTGATGCTGGGCTATTCCCCTGAGTGGGAGAGGGATGGCAGAGAAGGGGAGCAGGAAAGACACGAGACATGAAGGCGTCGGCCTCGTACTAGAGGCATCAGGCAGCAACACAAAACATACAACCCCAAATGGATCTAAAATGCATACTGAGGGTCAGTGGAAGAGTCCTTTCTCCCTCTCAAATGTTTTGAAACTCTTCAAAACAAACAGCATTTTCTTAACGTATTCAAGACCACTTCAGTACACTAGGATCTAATTATGCTGATACCACATTTAGCATCTGTTTTAAAGGATTTATTACTTGATTAAAAGCCAATTTTATGGTGAAATGGACTCAATTTTACCCAAATTACTCTATTCTATTAATCGCACATTCTTTTTCATAGAGATCATTTAAAAATTCAATGTTAAAATGCTGCAATTAAAAATAGTCATGATTTCCTCTTTGTAAGTCTTCTTCTGGAACCACTTCTACACACCCTTTTGGACCCCTGTGATCAGGCGCTCCAGCACCTCCTGTGTGACTCTCCCTGAGGAGATTCCCTAAAAATCAGGCTTCCTTCAAACAGGCCAAGCTCACACAGCCTGCTCTACCTACACCAGTGAAGCTGAGAGACGTGACTCTGAACACTTTCTGCCATGAGGATAAGCTTCCAGGTTCAAATACACATTATCTACTGAAATGAGGAAATGTATACCAATAGAAATGAATGAATTCATGAAAAAATGTTCATGAGTACGGGGGTGATTTTTGGTTAACTAGCTTATGTAAAAATTATTTTTTTGGCTGAGCACTCTGGCTCACACCTGTAATTCCAGCAGTTTGGGAGGCTGAGGTGGGCGGATGACCTGATGTCAAGAGTTCACGACCAGCCTGGCCAACATGGTGAAACCCTGTCTCTATCAAAAACACAAAAAAATTAGCCAAGCGTGGTGGTGGGCGCCCGTAGTCCCAGCTACTCGGGAGGCTGAGGCAGAAGAATGGCTCGAACCCGGGAGGCAGGGCTTGCAGTGAGCTGAGATCATACCACTACACTCCAGCCTGGGCGAGAGAGCGAGACTTTGTCTCAGAAAAAAAAATAAAAAAAGAAAAAGTCTAGAACTTAAGTGATGAATATCAACTTAGGGAACAAAATTGAAGCCAAAGTTTTGAAGATAGGAAATAGTGTGATACTATCTTTTGTGGGAAGGAACTATTGGCTTCTCCAAAAATTAGAGAACTGAGGAGAAAGAAACCTCATCTCAGAATCTGTGACTGGGTTGGAACTGGAGGCTGGAAATATGCTTAAGGTCAAACATTCCTCCTCCCTTCAAAGGAGACTGGAGTTTTACCAGTGAGCCCAGCGTGAATATTCAGTCTGCCATCCACCCCAGGAGATCCCTTTAAACCAGGAGCTCACAGTGAGGACAGAAACATGAATATGCACTAACAAGTCCTGAAAGCTCAGAGGTGATTCTCGATTTCCCCTTGGCACACAGCAGAAGAACTGTTTCTCCAGGTTCCAGGAAATGCCTTTGAGAGAGCTGTGTCCCCCAGATTCCCTTCATCACAGATGACACCCAGTGCTTAAGCCTACACCCCTTGTGCACAATCCCTAGGAGTGCTGACTAATCCAAACCAAAGGTTCTGATGTTCCACAGGCAGAAAAGAGCAGGTGGACTGCAAAGAGAATCTCTCATGAATGTGGCACCCCCATAGCCCATAGAGACAGTTCTTACCATGATGCCAAGAAACTGAAAACAATAAGCCAGACCTCACACATATTTCCATTTTCTTTCTGATTTCATACCCCCTCCTTCAGCCCCTCCTCACAAGCAGCAGGGATAACCTGGAGGCTCCTGGGAACCTTTTCCCATTGGGTTTTTCCTGGCACGTAGTTCCCTACCTGGATGAGTCTCCTCGTCACTTAAACTCTCCAGCATCAAGTCTTTAGAAAGAAAAACACCAGGATAAGTCATTAGACAGAGTGACTCACCCACTCCTCCTACGTTAGCTGAAGCTGAATGATGGGCTTGTCTCCCACCCCACGCTGCTTCATACATGATCCCCTCATCTTTCTTCTGGGTTGGCAAACCTTCCTACAGCTTCTTGGGCCAGAGTTCTATACTGGCAAAATCACTTTCATGAGAACCCCAAGCCTCTTTCCCAGCAGGAACCCAGAATCAGGTTTCTATACACTGATGCTAGCAAGTTTTTCCCTCAGGAAGTGAGTTATTTCATGGTACATACCGTTTTCTTTCCAATCTGTTATCTGCAATTATATAAAAGAAAACATGAGAATCAGATTCTGCTGTGCGCTTCACACAGATCTGTTATTCTCTGGACAACGATAAAAAACCAGAATGCAGTACAGTGATTGAGCCATAGGTCAAAGTCCCCAAAGCCTAGCACAGAGGATAGCTATAGAAAAACAAGACCTTTATTAGCAGAATTTACCTTTAAATTTAATTTTATATGCAAATGCACAATGCTTAATCTAAGGAGGAAAAGTGGTATTGTGGAAAATGTCTCAGCATTCCAGGCATACTGGATGCCGTCATTGAAAAGCACACTAGCAGACCATGTATCAGTTGGGAAGACACGCCTACTGAATTCCAGCCCCACAAAGAGAATAGTGTACAGTGTACATAATGTGCACTGCCAGATTTTCATATCAAAATTAATTGAGAAGTAAAGCAATCAGGAAAGCAACATTGCTGTAGAAGACAAAAACAGTGGGTCTTACCTGGACATCATCATCATCATCATCACAATCAACATCACAATCAACGTCATCATCATCATCATCTTCGTCTTTGTATTGTGGTGAGCATCTTAAAAACAGGTCGTGTTCAGGATGAGCTGGAAGGACACAGAGGAAAGGTCAGTGCACCGGTGGTTAGTGACTGTGAGTCACTCAGAGAGCTTTGCTGGATGTGGTGTATGGAGGTGGTTGATTAACAAGTATGGACTGAGTTGATGCTGGGCTGTACCCCTGAGTGGAAGAGGGATGGCAGAGAAGGGGAGCAGGAAAGACATGAGACATGGAGGCCTTGGCCTTGTACTAGAGGCATCAGGCAGCAACACAAAACAGTCAATCCAAAATGGAACTAAAATGCACACTGAGGGTCAATGGAAGAGTGCCTTCCTCCCTCTCATATTTGTGTGTGTATATATACCTATATATATATATATTTGATGCCTATTTTTTCAGACATACAAAATATTGGTGTAAAAAATCAAAAATTTCTGTCAGTCATGTTAGATCTAACTTATCAGCTGTCAACATGAAGATCCTAGGAAGTAAAGAAGGTACAAATAAGTGGAAAGGCATCCTGTATTCATGGATAGGAAGACCAAACCTGACTAACACACAATACTACACAATGATCTACACACTCACAACAATTATTGTCAAACTGGTAACAGCTATCTGTGCGGAAATGGAAAAGATAATCCTACTATTTTAATGAATTTTATGTGCTTCAAGTAACCATGATGATGTCAAAAAAACAGTGTTAGAGAATACACATTCATGAGATTAAAATCCACACACACACAAAATACAAAAATTCAGACAGCATGGTTCCAGCACGCATAAGTTTCACAAGTATAGAGAGCCCAGAATTGAATGCACACATATACAGTAAACTGATCTTCAACAAAGGTGTCAAAAACACACAATGGGGAAAGGACAGCCTCTTCAACAAATGATGGTAAAACTGCATATTCTCATTCAAATAAAGACAGAATGCTGACAATGTGCTCAATGTTATACTTCTCCCTCCATTTCCAAGACACTGGAGCTTTTGCAGGGAGCCCAGAGTGAATTTTCATTCTGTCCTCCACACCCAGGAAGAGCTCTTGACACCAGAAGTAAGCAGGAAAAACAGACAAATGAGTGTGCTGCCAGGAAACCTAACAGTTCATAAGGTGAGGATTAATCTCTCCTATGCATCTGGGCACATCACAGAAGAATTCTGTCTCCAGGAGTAAGTAACTGCCTGTGACAGAATTGCATCCCAAACAAAAGACTTTGAGATTTTGCAGTGGCAGAGGCAGAAAAGAGCAGGTGTTCTAGAAAGATCATCTTTAAATAATAAATAAGAAGAGGTGATTGAAAACACAGGATACTCAAAAGCCCATAAACATAGTACTTCTCACCATGATGACATTAAACTCTAAAAAGAACAAACTTCACTTATATTTACCTTTTCTTTTTCTATTTCTACACCATCCCTCAGCCTCCCAAGCAGCAGGTATAACATGAAGGTTCCTGGAAATGCTGTTTTATTAGACCCCATCTGATGTCTTGTTGCCTACCTGGAAAGGCATCCTCTTCCCTGCTGAGATTCTCCAGAATCCACTCTTTAGAACCACCAACATCAGGATAAGTCAGTGAGAGGTGCACTCACTTCTCCTACTCCAGGTGAAGACACACTGGCTCACACAAAAGCTCCTGGTTGGTCCTCTGGGTTCACATACATTTCTACAGCCCCACTGGTCATAGTTATACACTTACAAAATCATTTGTTCTCACCACACCCTCAATATTTTTAACAGGAACCCAGATTAAGGTTTCTATATATTAAAGCCAGCAAGGTTGTTTCTCAGAAAGTGAGTTAGTTCAAGGTACGTACCCTGGTCAGACAATGGTAAAATCTGCAATGAGACAAAAGAAGATGCCATGAGGATCAGATCAATTCTGCTGCACCCCTTACACAGATCTGTTAGTCTCCTGATGACTTCACAAAACTACTTGTGAAACACTGGTGAGTCAAGGTCAAAGGCCAAACATTCTAGCATAGAGGACACGTGAGGAAAAGACAAGAGCTTTCCCCACAGAATTTCTTTGAGGTTGATTTAGGTTGGTAAATGCACAAGGCCTAATCCAAGGAGAAAAACTGGTGTGGAGGAAAATGCCTCTGCATTACAGCTGGTGATGGACGCTGTCCTCAAAACACCCCAGTGTGTCATGTATGAGATGAAAAGAAACTCAGACCGAACTCCACCCTCACAAAGAGAATTGTGTATGAGGCTGGGCGCGGTGGCTCAAGCCTGTAATCCCAGCACTTTGGGAGGCCGAGACGGGCGGATCACGAGGTCGGGAGATCGAGACCATCCTGGCTAACACGGTGAAACCCCGTCTCTACTAAAAAAAAATACAAAAAAAAAAAAACTAGCCGGGCGAGGTGGCGGGCGCCTGTAGTCCCAGCTACTCGGGAGGCTGAGGCAGGAGAATGGCGTGAACCCTGGAGGCGGAGCTTGCAGTGAGCTGAGATCCGGCCACTGCACTCCAGCCTGGGCGACAGAGCGAGATTCCGTCTCAAAAAAAAAAAAAAAAAAAGAGAATTGTGTATGTTGTATATAATCTGCCTTGTCATATTTTTATGTCAAAATTAATTGAGAAGGAAAGAAATCAGGTGAAGGAAATAATGTATACAGTGGTCCATTTTTAACACAAAGTGCTTTGAACCGGTCTAGGTCAGCAAAGGACAGAAGAAATAGGATATGCCAGACTCCTGCTTGGATGGGCAATGCCTGCTTCTTGGGCCCCCCTCCTCCCCACTTAGTTGCCCTCACTTCAACCAAAGAAGTTTAGTCTAAGATGAAAGTTTACTAGCCTGCAAAATAGCTCACTTTGTCTGTTCTTATCAGCCTGCCCAGCTACTTAGGTCATAAGTCAAATACTTGAAGAGCCCCTGAACTGACTAGGATGGCAATGCATTATGGGCTGCAACAAAATGCAGTAAGACAACCCTAGAAAAATACCTAAACTCCTCCCCCAAAATCAATAGGCAACACCTGGGAAGATTGTGACTCCACAGTACTCAGCCTATGAGGAACCACGAGAGGGACCTGCACACTAGGGGATAAATTGCTTATTGAAACTGTGCTGGGTGTGTCTGCCCATCAGACACCGGATCTTGCAACATTGTCATGAAAAGTCTCACTTTCAGCCAGGTGGGGTGGCTCATGCCTGTAATCCCAGCACTTTGGGAGGCTGAGGTGGGTGGATTACCTGAGGTCAGGAGTTCAAGACTAGCCTGGCCAACATGCTGAAACACTGTCTCTACTAAGAATACAAAAATTAGCTGGGCATGGGACACATGCCTATAATCCCAGCTACTCGGGAGGCTGAGGCAGGAGAATACATTGAGCCCAGGAGATGGAGCCAAGACTGTACCACTGCACTCCAGCCTGGGCAACTGAGCGAGACTCTGTCTCAAAAAAAAAAAGAAAGGAAAGGAGAGGGGAGGGGAGGGAGGGGGAGGGGAGGGGAGGGGAGGGGAGGTAAGGGAAAATCTCACTTTTGCTGTTTTTCAGCTCCCTGAGTCCATTCTTTGGGTTTCAATGGGTGAGTTTGTTTCTCACATCAGAAAACCAACATTTCCTTAGAAGACAAAGAAAGGTGGTCTTACCTGGCCATCATCATCATCATCGTCATCATCGTCATCATCATCATCCCAATCATTAATTTCACTTCGTGGTAGGCTTACTAAACTCAGGTTGTTCTCAGAAGAACCTGGAAGGACACAGAAGAAAGATCAGTGCCCTGGGTGTTTGTGACTGTGAGTCACTCAGGGAGCTCTGCTGGATGTGCCATGTGGAAGTGGTTGATTAACAAGCCTGGACTGAGTTGATCCTGGGCTATTCCCCTGAGTGGAAGAGGGATGGCAGAGAAGGGGAGCAGGAAAGACATGAGACATGGAGGCCTTGGCCTTGTACTAGAGGCATCATGCAGTAACACAAAACAGTCAATCCAAAATGGAACTAAAGCACACACTAAGGGTCAATGGAAGAGTGCCTTCCTCCCTCTCAAATGTTTTAAAACTCTTCAAAACACACAGCATTTTCTTAACGTATTCAAGACCGTGTAAGTACACTAGGACCCAATTATGCTGATACTACATCTAACATCTATTTTAAAGGATTAATTACTTAATTAATAGTGAAATGGATTCAATTTTACCCAAATTACTCTATTCTACTGATCACATATATATATATATATATATATATATATTTTTTTTTTTTTTTTTTTGAGACAGAGTCTCCCTCTGTTCCCCAGGCTGGAGTGCAGTGGCATGATCTTGGCTCACTGCAAGCTCCACCTTCTGTGTTCACACCATTCTCCTGCCTCAGCCTCCCGAGTAACTGGGACTACAGTCACCCACTGCCACACTCGGCTAATTTTTTTGTATTTTTAGTAGAGACAGGGTTTCACCATATTAGCCAGGATGGTCTGGATCTCCTGACCTCCTGATTCGCCCACTTCGGCCTCCCAAAGTGCTGGGATTACAGGCATGAGCCACCGCACCAGGCTGATCACAATTTCTTTTTCATAGAGGTCATTTAAAAAATGAAATATTAAAATGCTACAATTAAAAATAGTCATGATTTCCTCCTTGTAAGTCTTCTTCTGGAACCAGGGTGTGTGCACACAACCTTTTGGGCCCCTGTGATCAGGGGCTTCAGCAGCTCTGTGTCACTCTCCCTGAGGAGATTCCCTAAAAATCAGGCTTCATTCTAACAGGCCAAACTCACACAGCCTGCGCAACCTACACCAGTGAAGTTGAGAGTCGTGACTCTCAATACTTTCTGCCATTAGGATAAATTTCCAGGTTCAAATATACATGATCTACTGAAATGAGGAAATGTATACCAACACAAATGAACACATCCATGAACAAATGTCCATGAGTATGGGGGTGATTTTTGGTTAACTAGCTTATATAATATTTTTCATTTGAGGCCTATTCATTCAGACATACAAAATATTGGTATAAGATGTCACAAGTTTGGCCAGGCATGGTGGCTCATCCCTGTAATTCCAGCACTTTGGGAGTCCGAGGTGGGTGGATCACAAGGTCAAGAGATCGAGACCATCCCAGTCAACATGGTGAAACCACATCTCTACTAAAAATACAAAAATTAGCTGGATGTGGTGGCATGCACCTGTAGTCCCAGTTACTCGGGAGGCTAAGGCAAGAGAATCACTTGAACCCGGAAGGCAGAGGTGGCAGTGAGCGGAGATCACATCATTGCACCCAGTATGGTGACAGAGTGAGACTCTACTCAAAAAAAAAAAAAAAAAAAATCACAAATGTATATCAGTCATGTTAAATCTAACTAATCAGCTGTCAACATAAAGATTCTAGAAAGTAAAGAACTTACAAATAACTTGAAAGGCATGCCGTATTCGTGGATAGAAAGACTAAGCATGACTAACACACAATACTACACAAATGATCTGCAGACTCACAACAACTGCTATTAAACTGGCAGCAGCCATCTGTGCAGAAATGGAAAAGATAATCCTAAGACTTTAATGGATTTTTATGTGCCTCAAATAGCCATGGTAACATTGAAAAAGAATAGCGTTAGAGGAAGCACATTCATGGACTGAAATCTACAAAAAACAGAGAAATTCAGACAGCATGCTTCTAGCATGAGGGCACCCATAAGTATCACAGATATAGAATCGAGAGCCCAGAATTAAATGCACACATACAGAGTCAGCTGATCTTCAACAGAGGTGCCAAGAATACACAACGGGGAAGGAAAGCCTCTTCCGCAAATGATGGTTAAACTGCACATGCTCATTCAAAGGAAAAATTGAATGCTGACAGTGTGCTCAAGGCTGTGCTACTCCTTCCATTTCCAAGACACTGGAGCTTTTGCAATGAGCCCAGAGTGAATTTTCATTCTGTCCTCCATGCCCAGGGAGATGTCTTCATACCAGAGGTAAACAGCAAGGACAGACAAATGAATGTGCTGCCATGAAAGCTAACAGTTCATAAAGGTGAGGATCCATTTTTCCTATGCATCTGGGCACACCGCAGAATTTTATATCCAGGATTAAGTAACTGCCTGTGACAGAACTGCATCTCAAACCAAAGGCTCTGAGATTTTGCAGTGGCACAGGCAGAAAAGAGCAGGTGTTCTCAGAAAAATCATCTTTAAATAATAAAGCAAGAAGAGGTGATCGAAAAGACAGGATACTCAAAAGCCCATAAACATAGTACTTCTCACCATGATGACATTAAACTCTGTAAATAACAAACTCAGCTTATATTTACTTTTTCTTTTTCTCTTTCTACACCCTCCCTCAGCCTCCCAAGCAGCAGGTATAACATGAAGGTTCCTGGAAATGCTGTTTTATTAGATCCCATCTGAAATCTTGTTGCCTACCTGGAAAGGCATCCTCTTCCCTGCTGAGATTCTCCAGAATCCACTCTTTAGAACCACCAACATCAAGATAAGTCAGTGAGAGGTTCACTCACTTCTACTCCAGGTGAAGACACACTGGCTCACACAAAAGCTCCTGGTTGGTCCTCTGGGTTCACACACATTTCTACAGCCCCGCTGGTCACAGTTATACACTTGCAAAATCATTTCCTCTCACCACACCCTCAATATTTTTAACAGGAACCCAGATTAAGGTTTCTATATATTAAAGCCAGCAAGGTTGTTTCTCAGAAAGTGAGTTAGTTCAAGGTACGTACCCTGGACAGATGACGGTGAAATCTGCAATGAAACAAAAGAAGATGCCATGAGGATTAGATCAACTCTGCTGCACCCCTTACACAGACCTGTTAGTCTCCTGATGACTTCACAAAACTACTTGTGAAACACTGGTGAGTCAAGGTCAAAGGCCAAACATTCTAGCATAGAGGACACGTGTGGAAAAGACAAGAGCTTTCCCCACAGAATTTCTTTGAGGTTGATTTAGGTTGGTAAATGCACAAGGCCTCATCCAAGGAGAAAAACTGGTGTGGAGGAAAACGCCTCTGCATTACAGCTGGTGATGGACGCTGTCCTCAAAACACCCTAGTGTGTCATGTATGAGATGAAAAGAAACTCAGACCGAACTCCACCCTCACAAAGAGAATTGTGTATGTTGTACATAATGTGCCTTGTCATATTTTTATATCAAAATTAATTGAGAAGGAAAGAAATCAGGTGAAGGAAATAATGTATACAGTTTCCATTTTTAACACAAAGTGCCTTGAACCAGTTTAGGTCAGCAAAGGACAGAAGAAGTAGGATATGCCAGACTCCTGCTTGGATGGGCAATGCCTGCTTCTTGGGCCCCCCTCTTCCCCTCTTAGTTGCCCTCACTTCAACCAAAGAAGATTAGTCTAAGATGAAAGTTTAGTAGCCTGAAAAATAGCTCATTTTGTCTATTCTTATCAGCCTGCCCAGCTACTTAGGTCATAAGTCAAATACTTGAAGAGCCTCTGAGCTGACTAGGATGGTAATGCATTGTGGGCTGCAACACAATGTAGTAAGACAACCCTAGAAAAATACCTAAAACCCCCTCCCCAAAATCAATAGGCAACACCTGGGAAGATTGTGACTCCACAGTACTCAGCCTATGAGGAACCAGGAGAGGGACCTGCACACTAGGGGATAAATTGCTTATTGAAACTGTGCTGGGTGTGTCTGCCCATCAGACACCGGATCTTGCAACACTGTCATTAAAAGTTTCACTTTCAGCCAGGTGGGGTGGCTCATGCCTGTAATCCCAGCACTTTGGGAGGCTGAGGTGAGTGGATTACCTGAGGTCAGGAGTTCGAGACCAGCCTGGTCAACATGGTGAAACCCCGTCTCTACTAAGAATACAAAAATTAGCTGGGCATGGGGACACATGCCTGTAATCCCAGCTACTCAGGAGGCTGAGGCAGGAGAATTCATTGAGCCCAGCAGATGGAGGTTACAGGGAGCCAAGATTGCACCACTGCACTCCAGCCTGGCCAACTGAGCGAGACTCTGTCTCAAAAAGAAAAAAAGAAAAAAAAAAAAAAAAAAAAAAGGAAAGAAAATCTCACTTCTGCTATTTTTAAGCTCCCTGAGTCCATTCCTCGGGTTTGGACTGGTGACTTTGTTTCTCACATCAGAAAACCAGCACCTCCTTAGAAGACAAAGAATGGTGGTCTTACCTGGGCATCATCATCATCATCATCATCATCATGATCACCATCATAATCTTCACTTCGTGGTAGGCTTAATAAACTCAGGTTGTCCTCAGAACCTGGAAGGACACAGAGGAAAGATCAGTGCCCTGGGTGTTTGTGACTGTGAGTCATTCAGGGAGCTTTGCTGGATGTGGTGTATGGAGGTGGTTGATTAACAAGCATGGACTGCGTTGATGCTGGGCTATTCCCCTGAGTGGAAGAGGGATGGCAGAGAAGGGGAGCAGGAAAGACATGAGACATGGAGGCCTTGGCCTTGTACTAGAGGCATCATGCAGTAACACAAAACAGTCAATCCAAAATGGAACTAAAGCACACACTAAGGGTCAACGGAAGAGTGCCTTCCTCCCTCTCAAATGTTTTGAAATTCTTCAAAATAAACAGCATTTGCTTAACGTATTCAAGACCGTGTAAGCACACTAGGACCCAATTATGCTGGTACTACTTCTTAACATCTATTTCAAAGGATTTATTACTGAAGTAAAAGCCTGTTTTATTGGTGAAATGGACTCAATTTTACCCAAATTACTCTATTCTATTAATCACACATTCTTTTTCACACAGATCATTTAAAAAGTAATACTAAAATACTACAATTAAAAACAGTCATGATTTCCTCTTTGTAAGTCTTCTTCTGGAATAAGGGTGTGTGCACACAACCTTCTGGGCTCCTGTGATCAGGGGCTTCATCAGCTCCTATGTCACTCTCCCTGAGGAGAGTCCCTAAAGGTCAGGCTTCATTCATACAGGCCAAGCTCACATGAGGATAAGTTTCCAGGTTCAAATATACATGATCTACTGAAATGAGGAAATGTATACTAATGAACAAATTCATGAAAAAATGTCCGTGAGGACAAGGGTGATTTTTTGGTTAACTACTTTACATAATTTTTTTTAATTTGATGCCTATTCATTCAGAAATACAAAATATTGGTATAAGAAATCACAAATTTGGCCAGGCGCGGTGGCTCATGCCTGTAATCCCAGCACTTTGGGAGGCCGAGGTGGGCGGATCATGAGGTCAAGAGATCGTGACCATCCTGGCCAACATGGTAAAACCATGACTCTCCCAAAAATATAAAAATTAGCTGGGTGTGGTGGTACATGCCTGTATTCCAAGCTACTTGGGAGGATAAGGCAGGAGAATCACTTGAATCCGGGAAGCGAAGGCGGCAGTGAGGAGAAATCACATCACTGCACCCCAGTATGGTGACAGAGTGAGACTCTGTCTCAAAAAAAAAAAAAAAAAAGAAAAAAGAAATCACAAATTTATATCGGTCATTTTAAATCTAACTAATCAGCTGTCAACATAAAGATTCTAGAAAGTAAAGAACATGCAAATAAGTGGAAAGGCATCCTGTATTCATGGATAGGAAGACTAAGCATGACTAACACACAATACTACACACATGATCTACAGACCCACAACAACTGCTATCAAACTGGCAACAGCCATCTGTGCAGAAATGGAAAAGATAATCCTAAGACTTTAGTGAACTTTTGTGTGCCTCAAATAACCATGGTAACATTGAAAAAGAATAGTGTTGGAGGACGCACATTCATGAGATTGAAATCTACAAAAAAAACAGAGAAATTCAGACAGCATGCTTCTAGCATGGGGGCACACATAAGTATCACAGATATACAATTGAGAGCCCAGAATTAAATGCACACATACAGAGTCAGCTGATCTTCAACAAAGGTACCAAGAATACACAATGGGGAAAGGAAAGCCTCTTCCACAAATGACGGTAAAACTGCATATTCTCATTCAAATGAAGAAATGGAATGCTGACAGTGTGCTCAAGGTTGTGCTTCTCCCTCCATTTCCAAGACATTGGAGCTTCTGCAGTGAACCCAGAGTGAATTTTCATTCTATCCTCCACACCCAGGAAGAGCTCTTGACACCAGAGGTAAAAGGCAAGGACAGACAAATGAATGTCATGTGTCTGTGCTGACATGAAACCTAACAGTTCATAAGGTGAGGATCTACTTCCCCTATGCATCTGGGCACATCACAGAAGAATTCTGTCTCCAGGATTAAGTAACTGCCTGTGACAGAACTGTGTCCCAAACCAAAGGCTCTGATATTTTGCAGTGGCACAGACAGAAAAGAGCAGATGTTCTCAGAAAAATAATCTTTAAATAATAAAGCAAGAAGAGGTGATCGAAAAGACAGGATACTCAAAAGCCCATAAACATAGTACTTCTCACCATGATGACATTAAACTCGGAAAATAACAAACTCGGCTTATATTTACTTTTTCTTTTTCTCTTTCTACACCATCCCTCAGCCTCCCAAGCAGCGGGTATAACATGAATGTTCCTGGAAATGCTGTTTTATTAGATCCCATCTGATGTCTTGTTGCCTACCTGGAAAGGTATCCTCTTCCCTGCTGAGATTCTCCAGAATCCACACTTTAGAACCACTAACATCAGGATAAGTCAGTGAGAGCTGCACTCACTTCTCCTACTCCAGGTGAAGACACACTGGCTCACACAAAATCTCCTGGTTGGTCCTCTGGGTTCACATACATTTCTACAGCCCCTCTGGTCAGAGCTATACACTTGCAAAATCATTTGCTCTCACCAGATCCCCAATATTCTTAACAGGAACCCAGATTAAGGTTTCTATATATTAAAGCCAGCAAGGTTGTTTCTCAGAAAGTGAGTTAGTTCAAGGTACGTACCCTGCACAGGTGATGGTAAAATCTGCAACGAGACAAAAGAAGATGCCATGAGGATTAGATCAATTCTGCTGCACCCCTTACACAGATCTGTTAGTCTCCTGATGACTTCACAAAACTACTTTTGAAACAGTGGTTGAGTCCATGTCAAAGACAAAACATTCTAGCATAGAGGACATGTGTGGAAAAGACAAGAGATTTTCCCACGGAGTTTCTTTGAAGTTGATTTAGATTGGTAAACTAGTACAATGCGTAATTCAAAGAGGAAAACTGGTGTGGAGGAAAATGCTTCTGCATTACAGTTGATGATGGATGCTGTCATTTAAAAACATCCTAGCGTGTCATGTATTAGATGGGAAGACGTTCCCACTGAACTCCACCCCAAGAAGGACTATTGTGTATGTTGTACATAATGTGCCTCGTCATATTCTTACATCAAAATTAATTGAGAAGGAAAGAAATCAGGTGAAGGAAATAATACATACAGTGGTCTTTTTATTTTTTATTTTTATTTTTTTTGAGATGGAGTCTAGCTTTATCGCCAGGCTGGAGTGCAGTGGTGCAATCTCAGCTCACTGCAACCTCCACCTCCCAGGTTCAAGCTATTCTCCTGCCTCAGCCTCCTGAGGAGCTGGGATTACAGGCATGCGCCACCACACCTAGCTAATTTTTGTATTTTTAGTAGAGATGGGGTTTCACCATGTTGGCCAGGATGGTCTCGATCTCCTGACCTGTGATCTGCCCACCTTGGCCTCCCAAAGTGCTGGGATTACAGGCATGAGCCACCGCACCAGGCCACAGCAGTCCATTGTTGTTGTTTTTTTTCTTTTTGAGACGGAGTCTCGCTTTGTTGCCCAGGCTGGAGTGCAGTGGCACGATCTCGGTTCACTGCAAGCTCCACCTCCCGGGTTCACGCCATTCTCCTGCCTTAGCCTCCCGAGTAGCTGGGACTACAGGCGCCCACCACCACACCCGGCTAATTTTTTGTATTTTTAGTAGAGACAGGGTTTCACCGTGTTAGCCAGGATGGTCTCGATCTCCTGACCTCGTGATCCGCCCGCCTCGGCTTCCCAAAATGCTGGGATTACAAGCGTGAGCCACCGTGGCCGGCCACACAGCGGTTCATTTTTAAGAGAAAGTGCCTTGAACCTGTTTAGGTCAGCAAAGGACAGAAGAAATCCTAGGCTCCTGGTTGGATAGGCAATGCCTGCTTGTTGGGTCCCCCTTCCACCCCGCTTAGTTGTCCTCACTTTAACAAATAAGTTTAGTCTAAGTTGAAAGTTCACTAGCCTGCAAAATAGCTCACTTTGTTTGTTCTTATCAGCCTGCCCAGCTACTTAGGTCATAAGTCAAATACTTGAAGAGCCCCTAAGCTGACTAGGATGGCAATGCATTGTGGGCTTCAACAAAATGCAGTAAGACAACCATAAAAAAAAATACCTAAAGCCCCTACACGTCAATCAATATGTGACACCTGGGAAGATTGTGACCTCATAGTACTCAGCCTATGAGGAACCAGGGGAGGGACCTGCACACTAGGGGATAAATTGGTTGTTGAAACTCTTCTGGGTGGGACCGGGCATGGTAGCTCACGCATGTAATCCTAGCACTTTGGGAGGCCGAGGCAGGCAGATCACTTGAGGTCAGGAGTTCAAAACCAGCCTGGTCAACATGGTAAAACCCCCATGTCTACTAAAACTATAAAAAAATTAGCTGGGTGTGGTGGCAAGCGCCTGTAATCTCAGCCACTCAGGAGGCTGAGGCAGGAGAACTGCTTGAACCCAAGAGGTAGAGGTTGTGGTGAGCCAGGATCATGCCACTGAATTCCAGCCTGAGCGGAAGAGCAAAACTCTGTCTCAAAAAAAAAAAAAAAACAAAAAAAAACAAAAAAACAAAGAAACTGTGCTGGGTGTGTCTGCCCATCAGACACCCGATCTTGCAAGACCATCATTAAAAGTCTCGCTTTCTCTGTTCTGCGGGCCTCTGAGTCCATTCTTTGGGTGTGGATGGGTGAGTTTGTTTCTCACATCAGGAAAGCAACATTTCCTCAGAAGGAAAAGAAAGGGGGTCTTACCTGGGCATCATGATTGTCTTCCTCACTTGGTGGTAGAGATTTTAAATTCAGGCTGTCCTCAGGGGGAACTGAAAGGACACAGAGTTAATGTCAGTGCCCTGGTGGTTGGAGACTGTGAGTCCCTCAGGGAGCTTTGCTGGATGCGGCATATGGAGCGTGGGACTGAAGATTCTGAGACCATCTCAGAGAAACAAATATGTTCAAGTAGTGAGCATGAGGGAGTCTCACCAGATACCTCGCATCTTAGTCAGTGCCTGGACCTAATAAGACTCTTGCATTCCCAAGTCCCAGAAGATATTAACCAATCAAAACTCAAGGCTTTGATGTTTGCTGTAACATAGAAAGGAAAAACTGGTCTTCTGGAAAAGGTAATTACTAAAATCAGAGCAAGGAAAAAAATGGTTACAAAATGGTTAAAAAAAATGGTTACAGCACACAAAGCCCATGGACACTAATCGTCTCCTCTCTATCTTATTAAAATACAAAAGGAATAAGTCAGACTTCTACACATATCTCCTTTGGTTCTGACTTTCTCGCCCTTTTCCTAGGTTCCAAAGAAACAGGTGTCACCCAACTGCTCCCAGAGATCCTCCTAGAGTATCATTCTCTACCTACAGATCTGCCTCACTGCAGCTGCCCTCATGGACGGTGTCCATTGGCCAATCTTTAGAGACAAAAACTCCACAAGAAATTATTCCAGAGAGCAACTCGCCCACCCTCCTACTCCAGGTGAGGCCACACTGGGTTACGCGAGATCACTCTGCCCCTCCCTCGGTGTTGTCAGACTCTCCCTGGGCTCTGGGGAGTCAGAGGTCTCTAGAAAGGCATCGCTCACACTTGCCAGCCTTTAACTGAGAAAGAAGAACTGAAGGAACGATGTTTCAACTTTTTCCTTCCACTGGCCCATTATAGGTCTCACCTCCAATCTCACAGCCCTGAGATTCCCACTTTGATGTGCACGCTTTGAGTTACAGGAGTTCAACAATCAGCCCCTCAGCCAGGCTCACAGCAGATGTGAAAGAGCATTCTGTTGGGCCATTGCACGGTGGCTGTCGCGATGAGGTTTTTTTTTTTTTTTTTTTTTTTTTTTTGAGACAAAGGTTCACTCTTGCTGCCCAGGCTGGAGTACAATGGCATGAACTCAGCTCACTGCAACCTCTGCCTCCCGGGTTCAGGCGATTCTCCTGCCTCAGTCTCCTGAGTAGCTGGGATGACAGACATGCAACACCATACATGGCTAATTTTTGCATTTTTAGTAGAGATGGGGTTTCACCATGATGGCCAGCCTGGTCTCTAACTCCTGACCTCAGGTGATCCACCCGCCCCGGCCTCCTAAAGTGCTGGAATTACAGGTGTGAGCCACCATGCCAGGCCCTGAACTTTTACTTGTAAATATTTAAATGTATTGAAATATGAGGAGGCACATATATGACTGACAACCACAATAAATGACACAGGAAATCCAGACATGAGGAAGACATGACCCCCTCCCCTGGTGTTTCCTTGCGAAATGGTTTACAGCTGTGCTCCCACCATACATTTATGGTAACTTCCTGGGCATGTGCACAAGGCCCAGTCACTGTGTGGGGCTGGGGATATGACAACAATGAGGACAACATCCAGGTCCAGAGGGATTCCAGCAGGGGGCGCATGTGCACACAGGGGAAGACCGTGGCCCTGCACTCCCTGTCTAGACCGGATCAGAGCAGCAGGAGCCCAGGGGCAGGGGCACCTCACTGTCCTCAGGAGCTCAACCTCATCTCCAGGGACCCTGACTCAGAAGCTGGGGCAGGCTCCAGGGTTGGTGTAGGGCTCAACAGGCTGGACAGGCTGAGAAGGGAACATTTCCACATGTGCGCTAGATCCCAGCCCAGGGCTGACCTAGAACTCATCCCAGGGATGTGTTCACTACAATGCCCATGGGGCCTAACATGTTCTCCCCAGGACTGAGCTCTGGGGTAAGGACTAATGAGGAGCACACAGTCACTGCCCTGGCAGGAAACACCCGTAGCCAGGGTTCCTCTATCCACCCTGTGGGAAGACACAACACAGATAGAGTTTGACACTGAAGATTCCAAACTTTCTATAAAATAAGTGGAAATTGATGTGTTCTGGATTCCACAGAAGAGTTGCAAGGATGAGCTGGACTCTGGAATCAGTCCCCATCCCTTTGCTGGCTCCTGGTGCACTGGAACTCATGTCCCTCCCCACCTCCCCTGGTACTAGTGCTAAGGGGCTCTGTCCAGTTGAAACACATGTCAGCCAGGCATGGGGGCTCACGCCGGTAATCCCAGCACTTTGGGAGGCCGAGGTGGGCAGATCGCCTGATGTCAGGAGTTTGAGACCAGCCTAGCCAACATGGAGAAACCCCATCTCTACTGCAAATACAAAAATTAGCTGGGCATGGTGGTGCATGCCTGTAATTCCAGCTACTCGACAGGCTGAGGCAGGAGAATCACTTGAACTTGGGAGGTGGACGTTACAGTGAGCTGAGATCGTACCACTGCACTCCAGCCTGGGTAACACAGTGAGGGTCCCTCTCAAAAAAAAAAAAACAAAAAAAAAACACATTTCTAGGCCAGACAACCCTTGGCCAATACTGTCTCCTCAAGGACCATTCCTAAAGTGGCTTCCAGGAGAGGTGAAAAGGAAAAACTCATCTGTCCTACGCCCGGAAAAATCAGGCCTGGGACCTGTCTGTGTCTGTCCTGACTTGTGTCCTGTCTGCTCTGTGTCAGAGAAGTGGGGACCTGATTCCTGTTCTGCCTCCTCACCAATTTCTGCTGGTGTCACTGCCATCGTCACACAGAGATGGAGGAGACAAGAGAAAGCAATGAAACTCCATTCTTGAGGCATTCAGGATGACGTCCACACCATGCTCTCGGCAGACAGGAAGGCCAGATCCTGCTCACTCCTACTCAGAAGGGTTCTCAGAGATATGAGTACTAACCTTGTTAGCTATTTCTCCTCTGCTCTTCTCTTTTATTCTTCTTTTTGAGATGGAGTCTCACTCAGTCATTCAGGCAGGAGTGCAATGGCTCGATCTCGGCTCACTGCAACTTCCGCCTCTTGGGTTCAAGAGATTCTCCTCTCAGCCTCCCAAGTAGCTGGGATTACAGGAACCTGCCACCACACCCAGCTAATTTTTGTATTTTAAGTAGAGACAAGGTTTCACCAGGTTGCTCAGGCTGGTCTCGAACTCCTAACCTCAGGTAATCCACGCATCTCGACCTCCCAAAGTGCTGGGATTACAGGCATGAGCCACCGCACCCGGCCATGGATTGGAGCATTTCTAAGGCTTGAGGTAGTCCTGTTATTAAATACAATGCAGTATCTTCCTGATCCTTCCCTGCTTTGACCAAGTGCTGAGGAATGAGCCCAGCACTGACAGATGTTGACCTGCACTGTTCTATGTGAACCCTTACACTTCTCAGAATCTGTGAACTGACCAGAAGCCTGTGGGCTTTCTATGTGTATTTCACAGTAATGTCCATGCAAACGTCTGTTGTTCCGTGTACCTTTTGCTACCCTGGGTTTTGTGACCACTGGGGCCCCATTTGATGATGGGCAAAGTTTGGCAGCTTATAGGTCACACAGTTCCAGGGGCACACATAGGTGCTGGAGCTCCCTGGTGTGGGGTCCTGTCACTAAGCCTGAGTGATGACACAGTTGAGTAATACAGACCATCAACACTGGGACCCATTTCTGGGTTCACTTTTGCCTCCTCCATTCAGGAGGTCAGAATCTGGGTTCACTCCTTTCTGCACTCTCTCCAGCTAAGGAGTAGGGATATTAAACTGACCTTCAGGTACAGCTGTGGTGAGGGAGGAAAGAGGTCATTTATGTAAAGTGTATGGTGGTGCTGAAGTTTTTCTTCCTTTTTATTAGAAGACATGACTCTGGAGGCTGAGGTGAGAGGACCACATAGGCCAGGAATTCAAGAAAAGTGACACTTGTACTGTGCTGGGCATGGGGGCCACATTTTTTGGGGAAAACACACATTTACAAACACACTCACACTCACTACGCATGGATTCACCCCTAGCTACCTCCCAACCCTCCTGCACACAAACCCACACCATCTAAATGATACGGCTGTTTCCAGGGTCTCCAGTGGATGATCACAGTTCTTCACTGAGCCATCTGTTCCTCACACTGCACTCCAGGTCCTCACTCTCATCAGGAGCCGGAAGCCAGGCAGGCTCTCCAGACAAAAACAGGCAAGAGAGTCCCCCGCGACCCATCACTTAGATTTGTCATCAGCAAGGGAGTGGTCTTAGAATACGAATAGTGTTAGAGAGGGGAACAACACACACTGGGGCCTGTCAGGAGCCAGGGGAAGGGAGAGCATCTGGATAAACAGCTAACGCACGCAGGGCTTCATACCTAGGTGATGGACTGACAGGTGCAGCAAACCACCATGGCACACTTTTACCCATGTAACAAAACTGTACATCCTGCACATGTATCTCAGAACTTAAAAAAAAAAAAAAAATTAAATTAGGGGCTGGGTGCGGTGGCTCGTGCCTGTAATCCCAGCACTTTGGGAGGCTGAGGCAGGTGGATCACGAGGCTAGGAGATAGAGACTGCCCTGGCTAACATGGTGAAACCCCGTCTCTACTAAAAATATAAACAATTAGCCGGGCGTGGTGGCGGGCGCCTGTCGTCCCTACTGTGGAGGCTGAGGCAGGAGAATCGCTTGATCCCAGGAGGCAGAGGTTGCAGTGAGCTGAGATCGCACCACTGCACTACTGCTTGGGCAACAGAGCGAGACTCCATCTAAATAAATTAATTAAATAAATAAATAAAATAAAAATAAGCTACCTTAAGGGATGGAAGAAAAGAAACAATCTGACCCTCACCTGGTTCCTTCATTTAGGTACCAAACTGGCTGGATAGGTCGGCTAGAGAATGGGATGGGGATTGGGGTATTTGAATTTTCATTGAGAAAAGGGCTCTCCCTTTTCTAGATCAAAAAGCCTCAACGACAAAGACAAGAGGCAGAGTCAGCCTTTGCCCCCATGTCCCAGGTCTGGGAGAGCTGGCTATGGGCAGGAGGGAGCTGGAAGCTGGGATGTCTCTGGGGATAACGGTATGGGAAGGGGGTGAGGGTGGCCACAGTGTGCCAGAGAGTAAATGGCACCCATGGCTTTTTTACCTGTGAGCATCTTTTGGTTGCTGATGTGCTGCAGGTCGTGGCCCTCGGTGGCTCCCACATCCAGCTTGCCAGGCTCTACAGTAGTGGATTCTGATGTTGCAGCAGCCACAGCCTCATAAGTATCAGATTCATAACAGGTTTCCTTCTCCCCCCTGCACCAGCCACAGCTGGAGTCAATGCAACAGGTCAGTATACACCCCATCGGGCACCCACACTCCACTCCTGCCGGAGCCTTTGATGAAACTGAAACGGTGCTGCCCGAGGAGCCACAGTACTGAGGCTGGCACAGCCCTTGTAGAAGCAGCCTGACTCCAGGCAGATCTGGGGCCTCAGTCACGACCTCCCAAACTGCCTGGTCTACGAGGTCGGGGACCTACTATCTTCTCTGAAAAATAAATGAACACAAGTGCCGAGAGGCACAAAAACTGCTGGAACACAGCACAGTCGGAGCTCCTCCTACTACTACTACTACCCGCTTCCGACTGAGGGCTGCTGGCCCTGGCTGATGTCTATAACCCACAAAGCTTCCTATGTCACCTGGTTACCAGGAAACAGCCAGGCCAGGCTAGTGACTCACAATGTCCAGCCCCACAGCCCCACCCAAGGCCTCACAATGCTCATCCCTGCTGCTGCCCATCTTGTGGCCACCCTGCCCCTCTGTGCTGACTGCACTACTCAGGCTTTTATTCACCCTGGGCTGCCTGAGCTTTCCAGTCCTGAGAAAAGTGCAGGGGGGTTGCTATTGGAAGTCATCCTTAGCAATAAACTCAATAGAAAACCCTGGTACAGCCAGGAGTGGTGGCTCACGCCTATAATCCTAGTACTTTGGGAGGCTGAGGGGGGTGGATCACCTGAGGTCAGGAATTCGAGACCAGCCTGGCCAACATGGTGAAGCCCCATCTCTACTAAAAATACAAAATATTAGCTCAGTTTGGTGGTGGGCACCTGTAATCCCAGCTACTCAGGAGGCTGAGGCAGGAGAATTGCTTGAATCCAGGAGGTGGAGGTTGTACAGTGAGCCAAGATCGCACCATTGCACTCCAGCCTGGGTGACAAAGGTGAAACTGTCTGAAAAACAAAACAAAACAAAACAAAAAAACAAAAGAAAGAAAACCTCAGTTACTAAAGTCAGTTCCACCAGCATTTCTGTTTTTCTGAGTTTGACAGCTTTCATTTGTACCAAATGCAGTTATACACAAATTTTTGACTGCTTTTCTAATTAAATGCTTCTCTTCCATCCTACAAGTGTTAGTTCTTGTCTGCAACTTGATCATAGCTACCCCCAGGGCCCTGGTCCCACTCTCAGTAGAGAGTCATGGCTGTGTATCCTGAATGAAAGCCTGGGACACATCACACTTTCCCCTCCTGGTCTATAAAATAGGGACTGAACACATCCTTCCCAGCTCTGTAATGCTAGGACCTACCAACTCCCTTTTCTCCCTCTGTTTCTTCTTTCCATGACAGGGGTACTCAGATATTTCTTTTATTTACTTATTTATTTTTTGAGATGGAGTGTTGCACTGTCCACCAGGCTAGAGTGCAGTGGCATGATCTCAGCTCATTGCAACCTCCACCTCCCAGGTTCAAACGATTCTCCAGCACCAGCCTCCCGAGTAGCTGGGACTACAGGTGCATGCCATCACATCTGGCTGATTTTTGTATTTTCAGTAGAGATGAGGGTTTCATCATGTTGGTCAGGCTAGTCTTGATCTCCTGACCTCAAATGACGGGCCTGCCTTGGCCTCCCGAAGTGCTGGGATTATAGGCATGAGCCACCACCTCTGGCCTCAGATATTTCTTTCACTAACAAATCATAAAGTTTTATTTTCTTATGCAAAATTGAGAACCCCACAGTGGGGTACCATTGGCCTCATAGGATAAAGATGAACAGTCAACATCTGGCAAGTATTATGTACCTGACAGTGTTCCAACTGTGGCATACTCATTTAACCCTCAGAAACAGTCCCATTGTACACATTTTGGAAAAGTCAAGTAACTTCCCCAAGGTCCCACAACCGCTCAGTGAGTTCAGGCAGATGAGCAAACAAAGGCTTAGAATTCAGTTGTCTGAGGCTACACTGCTGGACAGTGGATGAACCTGGAATACAAAGGCTCATTCACTGTCCAGCACTACAGTTTAAATAGAGTTTAAATTTTGTTCCGGAAACATGAGAGTCACTGAACCACACAGAAGTGAGGAGTCTCTATCAGACGTGTTTGCAGTGAAGTCTCTGCACAATAGAGAAGGACTGATGGAAGCAATGGGACCAATTAAGAGACATTATGTTGGGAGGCCAAGGTGGCTGGATCATTTGAGGTCAGGAGTTCGAGACCAGCCTGGCCAACATGGTGAAACCCCATCTCTACTAAAAATACAAAAATTAGCCTGGCGTGGTGGCGGGTGCCTGTAGTCCCATCTACTCGAGAGGCTAAGGCAGGAGAATCACTTGAACCCAGGAGGTGGAGGTTGCAGTGAGCCAAGATCACACCATTGAACTCCAGCCTGGGCAATAGAGAGAGATTCTGTCTCAAAGAAAAAAGAGAGACATTATGTTCGTCTGGGAGAACAGATAAGGCTAAAGGCAGTGGAAGTGACTGAAGTGGATGGAAAAGTTTTGTGATCATTTGGGAGAGAGAACAGGAAGTGTTAGCTGATTAGATGTGGAAGAACGGGAAGTAAAAGGAAAAACAGGCTGCTAAGGCTCTAGTTGGAAGGACTGGGTAAATAACAGCGACTTTCTCCTACACAGAGAATGCAGGAAGAGGAAGCGATATGGGGAATAAGATAGTTTTCAGCTGGGCACAATGACTTATGCCTGTAATCCCAGCACTTTGGGAGGCCGAGCTGGGTGGATTATGAGGTCAGGAGTTTGAGACCAGCCTGGCCAACATGGTGAACCCCCATCTGTACTAAAATTATAAAAAATTAGCTGGGGGCAATGACGGGCGCCTGTAATCTCAACTACTCGGGAGACTGATGCAGGAAAATCACTTAAACCTGGGGGGTGGAGTTGGCAGTGAGCGAGATCGTGCCACTGCACTCTAGCCTGGCCGAAAGCACAAGATTCCATCTCAAAAAAAAAAAAAAAAAAAGATAGTTTTGGACTCTTAAGTATTACATTGAAATGGAGTTCTCTGGTACAAAGTTGGATAGAAACTTCTATAGGCTAAGTCCATTCTGTGACATCACAACTCATGTTTTAAAAAATACACACCATTTATGAAATTTCCTAAAATTTACATACTAAATTTTAGTCATCATTTTCTTATGACAACCTATTAGTTACTACTTTCTTAGAGTAACTTTGAATTTACGATCATCGTGAATGAGGTGTCATGTAAATAAAGCTGTTATATAAAAACAACATTTAAATTTTATTGTCTGTCATCAGAGCACATAAAAAACAATTGAAGGCATGGATATGGCAGGGATTGCTTTAAAAAGCTGTGCCTTATAAGGGGAGTTGGAAAGAAAGGAGACTTGGGGGCCGGGCGTGGTGGCTCTTGCCTGTAATCCCAATGCTTTGGGAGGACTAAGCGGGCAGATCACTTGAGGTCCGGAGGAGTTCGAGACCAGCCTGGCCAACATGGCAAAACCCTGTCTCTACTAAAAATACAAAAATAAGCCAGGCTTGGTGGTGGGCACTTGTAATCCAAGCTATTTGGGAGGCTGAGGCAGGAGAATTGCTTGAACCCAGGACACGGATGTTGCAATGAGCCGAGATGGTGCCACTGTACTGGAGCCTGGGTGACAGAGCAAGACTCTGTCTAAAACAAAAAAAAAAAAGAAAAAAAAGAGGCCGGGCGCAGTGGCTCAAGCCTGTAATCCCAGCACTTTGGGAGGCCGAGACAGGTGGATCACGAGGTCAGGAGATCGAGACCATCCTGGCTAACACGGTGAAACCCCATCTCTACTAAAAAAACACAAAAAACTAGCTGGGCGTGGTGGCGTGCCCCTGTAGTCCCAGCTACTCAGGAGGCTGAGGCAGGAGAATGGCATAAAGCTGGGAGGCGGAGCTTGCAGTGAGCTGAGATCCGGCCACTGCACTCCAGCCTGGGCGACAGAGCAAGACTCCGTCTCAAAAAAAAGAAAAAAAGAAAGAAGACTTGGGGAATAGGGAGATTTAAGTGGCATTAAGTAAAGCCTGCAAATGTGAGCAGTGAGAGTTGAGGTACCTGAGTGTTCAGAAACGGCTGATGGGGTGAGTCTCATCACAATGGAGATGGCGTCTGCTTCTCATTTCTCTAATGGCCGTACCTACCACAGCACCTGGTCAACAGGGACTCAATACCTAATACCCCAATGAACACAGTAAAATTCAGCCAGTTCAAAAATACGTCCATACCCACCAACTTCCCTCATGGAGTTTTACTTCTTTCACTTACTGTAATGTTTTGAAGTTCATCCCTCCTGTGGCCTGTATCCATAGTTTCTTTTCTTTGTATAACTGAGCAGCACTCCGCTGTATGCACAGACCACATGGGTCTATCCATTCTCTAGCTGACGGATACTTGGGTTGTTTCCAGTTGTTGCCTGTAGTGAATGAGGCTGCTGAGAACATTTATGTACACCTCGTTTTGGAACACATGCTTTCATTTCTTCTAGATAAATTCCTAGGGCTGGAATTGCTAAGTCAAATGCCTAATTTATGCTTAACTTCTTTTTTTGCCTTTCTTATTCATAGAAAATATTATACCGATACATAATATTGGACATTTCTATGAGGTGCATGTGCTGTTTGGTTCCGTGCATCCAACATGTCATCATCAAGTCAGGATATTTGGGGTATGGCCTTGAGTATTTATCATTTATATGTGTTGAGTGTATTTCAAGTTCTCTCTAGTAGCTATTTTAAAATATACAATACATTATTGCTAACCATAGTCACCCTACTCTGCTATCCAACATTAGAACACATCCCTTGCATCTAACTGTGTGTATTCATTAACCAACCTCTCTGCATTCCCTTCTTATACCCGGAGGAGAGAGGAAGGAGGGAAAGGAGCTGTGGGTGGCTGAATTAGGACCCAGGGATGGCTGTGTCCCAGTCCCGGGACCTGTCCATGTGCTGTGTTGTGTGGCCACAGGGACTTTACAGATGTGAGGATGTGAAGGAGCTTGAGGTGGAAGATGATCCTGGGTTATCTGGGTGGGTCCAAGGTGGGGTCCTTATAAGGGAAAGAAAGGCAGGAGGGTCAGAGTGAGAGCAGGTGTAGGGCTGGAGAAAAAGAAAAGAAGAGAAGGAGCGAGGGTGAGAGAAGACGGTGGGGGGTGGGGAGAGAGAAAGAAGAGTGGGAGAGAGATTTGAAGATGCTGAGCTCTGACTTTAAAGTAGGAGGACGGGGACAGGAGCCCAGGGTGTCCTCTAAAAGCTGGAAAAATCCTGGAAATCGATTGTCCCCAGAGCCCTCAAAAGGAGCCTGGCTGGGCTGGCACCCTAATTTTAGCACTCTAGGATTCATTTTGGACGTCTGACTCCAGACCAGGGAATCAAAGTGCGATTTTTTAAGCCTCTAAATTAGGGGTCATTTGTGACAGCAGCAGCCACAGCAAAGTCAAACAGGAGCCATGGGAGAGACTCCCTAGGATGCCCCGAGGGTCCCTCCCTGGCCCCACCCACAGAAACACAGGCCTGACCACTGCTGGTGCCTCCACCCCTCTAACACCCCGCTCAGCAGGAACCATGCAGGAGGGGCTGAGTGTGGCTGGGCCATGTTCTCTCCCCTCACACCTTCTTCTCAGAGAGCAGCTGGAGCCCCAGACCCAGGGAGCCTCCCAGAGAAATTCCCAACACAGGACGTGGTTTTCCACCTGAGGCTCAGGATCCAATGGAGAAGTGTTTCCCAAAAATGATGCTTCCTCCAAAGATGGCCAGTGACTTTCTGTGCCAAACATCTGAGAAAATCTCCATGTCCTAGGGCTGCCAGGCAGTCACCTGTGCACATGTCGGAGCCCAAATCCCATCAATAGTGAGGCCTTGAGTAAAACACATCCCCACTGGCCAGGCGTGGTGGCTCAAGCCTGTAATCCCAGCACTTTGGGAGGCCGAGACGGGCGGATCATGAGCTCAGGAGATCGAGACCATCCTGGCTAACACGGTGAAACCCTGTCTCTACTAAAAAATACAAAAAACTAGCCGGGTGAGGTGGCGGGCGCCTGTAGTCCCAGCTACTTGGGAGGCTAAGGCAGGAGAATGGCGTAAAGCCCAGAGGCGGAGCTTGCAGTGAGCTGAGATCCGGCCACTGCACTCCAGCCTGGGCGACAGAGCAAGACTCCGTCTCAAAAAAACAAAACAAAACAAAAAAACACATCCCCACTTTTAATTATGATGAGATGCCTGGCCTCAGCATTGAAAACACCAACTTCCCTCAAGCAAAGACTTGTTTAGTCTCTTAGAAATGATGGAGCACACCAGCCTGAACAACATGGTGAAACCCTGTCTCTAATAAAAATACAAAAATTGGCCGGGCATTGTGGCACTACCTGTAATCCCAGCTACTCAGGAGGCTGAGGCAGGAGAATCGGTTGACCCCGGGAAGCAGAGGTTACAGCGAGTTGAGATCATGCCATTGCACTCCAGCCTGGGTGACAGAGCGAGACTCCATCTGAAAGAAAAAAAAAAAGGAAAGAAAGAAATGATGGAGCTATCACCCCTCTTGCACTGGTTCCTGGGGAGCTCAGAGCCTATCTTTTGCAAGTGTCCTGAGCCTCTTGCAGGCCTTTCATGTGTTTTCCTTCCTGGCTTCCTCCTATTTTTCTCACACCTCTGAACCTGCTGTCAGGTGAAAAATCGAGGCGGGCCCAAAATTTAAGAGCTCATGAATTTGATGGTGTGGGAGTGTCCTGGACAGTCCAGCCCTTGGGGGTGGGGAGTTGGGCAGAGAGGAAGGAGGGCATTCCAGGAGCCAGGGCCAGAAGCAGAGGGACTCCAGGCCCAGAGTAGGATTTCCAGGCTGAGGAAAGACAGGCGGTGGGTGGGTAGAGGATCCAGACCAGGACAGGGACAGAGGGTGTATTTGGAGGTTCAGCCACAAATAGCTCCCTCCAGAAAGCAGGCAGTGAGTGGGGGGTGAGCTGCAAGAAGGAAGGGGAGGAGGGAGAGAATGGATGGACCGGTGTTCAGTGAGCCGACTCCTCCGATCCTGGCCTATTTCCCCAGGGGACACACCTGGGAGACTGTGATCCTCTCCTCCAGGTTACTTTCCCACTGGTGCCAGGATTCCCCCAACGCCACACTGAGAGCCCAGGAGAAGCATCAAATCATATGAGAGATAAGAAATGAAGAGAGGGAACAGGATTTCTGGTTGACCAAGAGGATATTTATTGAGGGTTTACTGGGTACAGGGAGAAGGGCTAGATGGCTTCGGATCCAAAGAGAGACCCCTCCCCTGGGATCGTGCAGCTCCAGGACCCTGTGGGTGGGGTGAGGGTTGGGAACCTATGAACATTCTGCAGGGGACACTGTCTTAACCACGGTGTTCCCTTCATGGGTGACCTGGTAGCCATAGCTTCTGTGGGACCTCCACTGCTCAGGTGTCAGGCTCAGGTAGCTGCTGGCCGCGTACTTGTTGTTCTCTGTTTGGAGGGCGTGGTCATCTCCATGCCCTGGGTGATGGAAGTACCATCTGCCTTCCAGGTCACCGTCAAGATTCCTGGATAGAAGTCACTAATGAGACACACCAGTGTGGCCTTGTTGGCTTGGAGCTACTCAGAGGACAACAGGAACAGAGTGACCGAGGGGTTGTCCTTGGGCCGACCTGTGTGGACAGAGGAGGGGGTGAGAGACGGCAGAGGGAGAGTGGGGTGTTGTGGAGCGCCTCTCTCTGTCTGGTCTCTGGGAGGGTTCATGCTGTGGCCGTCTGGTCCACCCAAGGCCTCTCCTTCCCACCTCATTCCCCTCTTTTCCACTGGAGCCCTCTGGAGAGCAGACAGCCCTGTACCTTCCTAGGGGCCTTCCCAAGTCACCTTTCCCAGGCGTCCTGGTCCAGCTCTTTCCTCTGCAGTCTCAGTTTCCCCGTGTGTACCCAGGGCAGGCTGTGCTCCCTCCTTCCAAACAAAAATATTTGGCCTGGCACAGTGATTCATGCTTGCAATTTCAGCACTTTGGGAGGCCGAGGCTGGTGGATCACCCGAGGTCAGGAGTTCAAGACCAGCCTGGCCAACATGATGAAACCCTGTCTCCACTAACCATACAAAAATTAGCCAGGCATGGTGGCGGGTGCCTGTAATCGCAACTACTCAGGAGACTGAGGCAAGAGAATCTCTTGAACCCAGGAGGCGGAGAGTGTGCGCCTGTAATCCCAGTTACTGGGGAGGCTGAGGCACGAGAATTGCTTTTCAAAGAGACACAGGTTGCAGTGAGCTGAGATCTCACCACTGCACTCCAGCTTGGGTGACAGAATGAGATTTTTTTTTTTTTTGAGACCATCAGTGCTATTTTATCTTCAGTGTCTTATGAGTAAACGTCTATAATTGTTTATTGCACTGTTTATTATTTTTATTTTATTAAACTTTAGGTTCATGAGGTACATGTGCAGGTGTGTTCCATGAGTACACTGCAAAATGCTAAGGTGTGGGCTTCTAGTGAACCCATCACCCAAACACTGACCATAGTACCCAACAGGTAGTTTTTCAACATTTTCCCTCCTGCCCTCCCCACCTGTGGAGTTCCCAGTGTCTGTTATTTCCATCTTTATGTCCATTCGAACCCATTGTTTAGCTATTTATTTATTTATTTATTTATTTATTTATTTATTTATTTGAGACAGTCTCGCCCCTTTGCCCCAGCTGCAGTGCAGTGGCGCCATCTTAGCTCACTGCAACCTCCCACCCCCGGGTTCAAGAGATCGTCCTGCCTCAGCCTTCTGAGTAGCTGGGATTACAAGCACATGTCATCACACCGCGAACTTTTGCATTTTTAGTAGAAATGGGGTTTCACGATGTTGGCCAGGCTGGTGTCAAATACCTGGTCTTAAGTGATCCACCTGCTGTGCCCTCCCAAAGTGCTGCACCTGGCCCATTTTTAAATAATAATTTTCTTTCATTTTATTTGCTAATAGTTTACAATAGAATTATATAATGCCCTTTTTTTTGGGGGGGGGTGGGACAGGGTCTCACTCTGTCACCCAGGCTGGGGTGCAATGGCTCAATCACGCTTCCCTGCAGCCTCAAATTCCTGAGTTCAAGTGATCCTCCCACCTCAGCCTCCTGAGCAGCTGGGACTACAGGCACACACCACCATGCCCAGCTAATTTTTCTATTTTTTGTAGAGACAGGGTCTTGCTATGTTGCCCAGGCTGGTCTCAAACTCCTGAGCTCAAGCAATTTGCCCGCCTTGGTTTCCCAAAGTGCTGGGATTATAGGCATAAACCACTGTCCCTGGCCTAATAATGTAGAATCTTACTGAATGCTTCATAATATGATTTTAAAAATTTGTATTTGAAATGTATTTAAATATGTAGTTTGATCTTTTGAAAAACATATGAATTCCTAACAGATTATAAAATACTAGTTGTGCCCAGGAGGTGGAGGTTGCAATGGGCAGAGATCACACCACGGCACTCCAGCCTGGGTGACAGAGCAAGACTCCAACTCAAAAAAAAAAAAAAAAAACAAACTAGTTGTGTTAGGTTTCAAACCAGAGAAGCAGAACCAGTAGGATACACAGATTCAGATATAGATTAACATATAGAGACACACATCTGCATAGATAGATTTATTAATAAAAGGTTGGCTTCTGGCCAGGCACAGTGGCTCACACCTGAGGTCAGGAGTTTGAGACCAGCCTGGCCAACATGATGAAACTCTGTCTCTACTAAAAATACAAAAATTAGCCAGGCGTGGTGGTGCATGTCTGTAGTTCCAGCAACTCGGGAGGCTGAGGCAGGAGAATCGCTGGAACCTGGGAGGCAGAGGTTGCAGTGAGCCAAGATTGTGCCACTGCACTCCAGCCTGGATAACAAAGCTAGACTCCATCTCAAACAAACGAACAAACAAACAAGCTATATAGAGACATACATCTACACAGATAGATGTACTGGTAAAAGCTTGGCTTCTGCATTTGTGAGGTTGGCTAAGCAAGCCCAGAGCCCGCAGAACTGGCCGTCAGGAAACGACAATCACCGGCGGGCTGGAGCCACACAGGCAGGGCCAAAGCTTGCTTTTCACAGGCACTCAGGAAGAAAGATCCAGAGGGAAGGGAGCACAATTGTGGACTCGGCTGCTATTTGACGTCTGTGCTCCAGGAATTCCTAAGCCCTCTCTTTTTTAAAAAAATATATAAACTTTTTGGCTGGGTGTGGTGGCACGTGCTGTAGTCTCAGTTGCTCAGGAGGTTGAGGCAGGAGAATTGCTTGAGCTCAGGAGTTAGAATCTAGCCTGAGCAGCATAACAAGACCTTGGTTCTAAAAAAGATTTAAAAAATAGGCCGGGCACGGTGGTTCACGCCTGTAATCCCAGCACGTTGGGAGGCCAAGGCGGGTGGATCACGAGGTCAGGAAATCGAGATCATCCTGGCTAACACGGTGAAACTCTGTCTCTACTAAACATACAAAAAATTAGCCAGGTGTGGTGGAGGATGCCTGTAGTCCCAGCTACTCAGGAGGCTGAGGCAGAAGAATGGTGTGAACCTGGGAGGTGGAGCTTGCAGTAAGCTGAGATCTCGCCACTGCACTCCAGCCTGGGTGACAGAGCGAGATTCCATCTCAAAAAAAAAAAAAAGTCCGGGCAGGGTGGCTCATGCCTGTATTCCCAGCACATTGGAGGCCAAGGCGGGTGGACCACTTGAAGCCAGTTCAAGACCAGTCTGACCAACATGGTGAAACTCCAACCCTACTAAAAATTAAAAAGTCAGCCGGGCGTGGTGGCACATGCCTGTAATCCCAGCTGCTCGGTAGGCTGAGGTGGAAGAATTGCTTGAACCTGGGAGGCAGAGGTTGCAGTGAGCCAAGATCGTGCCACTGCACTCCAGCCTGGGTGACAGAGCGAGACCCTGTCTCAAAAAAATAAATAAGAAAGATTTTTAAAATAAAACACTTCTAATTTTTTAATTACTTTTTTCTTTAGCAGCACATTGAGAAGTTGAGTACACTTTTAATTTTGAAAGTTTTAGAATTACAGACAAATTGCCAAGACAGCAGAGAGTTCACACATACCCTTGTATCTGGCTTCCTTCTTATGAACATCTTAAATTAGTATGGTAAATTGCTACAGGTAAAAACCTGGCTGGGCATGGTACCTCACGCCTATGATCCCAGCACTTCGGAACGCCAAAGTGGGAGGATTACTTGAGTCTTGGAGTTCAAGACTAGCCTGGGCAATATAGTGAAACCATGTTTCAGTTAAAAAAACATTTAAGGCCAGGCATGGTGGCTCACGCCTATGATCCCAGCACTTTGGGAGGCCAAGGCAGGCCGATCACCTGAGGTTGGGAGTTCAACATCAGCCTGACCAACATGGAGAAACCCCATCTCTATTAAAAATACAAAATTAGCCAGATGTGGTGGCTCATGCCTGTAATCCCAGCTACTCGGGAGGCCGATGCAGGAGAATCGCTTGAAACCAGGAGGCAGAGGTTGTGGTGAGCCAAGATATCACCATTGCACTCCAGCCTGGGCATCAAGAGCAAAACTCCATCTCAAAAAAACAAATTTTTTTTAATGAAAAAAATTTTGGAGAGATGGGGTCTTGCCCTATTGACCAGGTGGGAGCACAGTGGCATAGTCACAGCTCACTGCAGCCTCAAACTCCAGGGCTCAAGCAATTCTCCCTCCTCAGCCTTCCTAGCAGCTGGGACTATAAGTGTATACCACCATGCTAACTAAAAAAAAAAAAAAAAAAAAAAAAAAAAAAAAAAATTTAGAAAGATGTGGTCTCGCTATGTTGCCCAGGCTAGTCTCGAACTCCTGACCTCAGGATCTCCCCACCTTAGCCTCCCAAAGTGCTAGGATGTGAGCCACCATGCCCAGCCCCAATAAACCAATACTGATACACTGTTATTAACTAAGGTTCAACTTGATTCAGATTTCTTTACTATTTCCCCTAATGTCCTTTTCCTGTCCCAGGATCTCATCCAGGGGACCATACTATGTTTAGTTCTTAAGTCTCCTCAGGATTGCTGGAGTGCAGTGACTCCATCTCGGCTCACTGCAACCTCCGACCACTGAGTTCAAGCGATTCTCCTGCCTCAGCCTCCCAAGTTGCTGGGATTACAGGCACCTGCCACCATGCCCAGCTAATTTGTTTGTTTTTTTGTGTGTGTTTTTTTGTTGTGTTTTGTTTTGTTTTGAGAGGGAGTCTCCCTCTGTCACCCAGGCTGGAGTGCAGTAGGGCAATTTTGGCTCACTGTAACCTCTGCCTCCTGGGTTCAAACAATTCTCCTGCCTCAGCCTCCCAAGTAGCTGGGATTACAGGTGTGTGCCACCACACACTGCTTTTTTTTTTTTTTTGGCCGGGGGGACGGAGTTTGAGATGGGGTTTCACCAGGCTGGTCTCAAAACTGCTGGCCTCAGGTCATCCACCCACCTCAGCCTCCCAAAGTGCTGGATTACAGGTGTGAGCCATCTGCCCAGCTTGGCTAGTTTTTTTTGTTTTTGTTTTTTTAATGCAGTAGCTGGGGTCTTGCTATGCTGTCCAGGCCTCCCAAAGTGCTAGGATTACAGGTATGAGCCACCACTCCGTTCCTGGCCTAGGAGGTCACTGTGATACCCTGTTTGAAGGTGATGGGGCCTGGACAGGGCAGAGGCTGTGATGGGAGCCC